AAAGATTCAACTAAACCCTTCGAACTATCGGGGATTCATTTTTATATACCGATAAGTCTCTTATAGGATTTGATTCCATGATGCAGAAGAGCAAAATATTTGATGATTGAAATGAAATAACAACCAATTTGTAATAATAATTTAAATCGTTGAAAGATTAATTCATTTATATCTAATACTCATGTGAACAATCAAATACATCCATGAACATGGAATTTAATTGATTTGAATTAATGAATATAGAAAAATAATAATTTATATACACTTGATCTTGAAAATTAATTTAGACGAAAATGTATGTACGTAAACCTAGAGAATAAATTTATGTCATAGATTAAATGAAAAATTTTGAAAATAAATGTGTAGATGAACTAGAATAAATTATTTACTTGTAGAGAAATTGATTAGCCCACAAAACAAATAAAATGTACATGAACTTGAAGAATTAATTTGCACACTTTTGATTTAAATATGAGAGGAATGGAAGCCCTTTAAAATAAATCTTATTTATTATTCATGCACGTAAATAGCGAAATATATAATTAAATGTTAAATACGTATTGAAAAATGAAAAGTAATGTATTATTGAAATAATTGAATTGTAGTAGGTCTAGGATCGTCCAAAAAAGATTTTGTTTGTTCTACCTCAAGTTTGAAGACGATGAACGAGAAAAAAAAATTAAATATATAATTGAAACCATTGGTAACACACACTTTAGGTCTATCTCGGTGAAAAATGCTCCTTCTTGCATGTTCACAATTTGTGCATCATGGAATGACTTCTACTAATTATTAATATTCACAAGTACTAGGGGATAAAATACAAAAAAAGGAGAAAATAAGAACAACCCATTATTTTACAAAGCGCTTTAAGCTTACGTCTTAAGGCCTGTCTCACATAAATTCTTTAATTAATCACATCAAATCTTACATTTTCAGTGTCATTTGTCAAGGTTAAAAGCCATTACTTACTAAGGCGTATGCCTCAAGGCATAGGAGCGAATCCAGACCATTTGTCTTCTGGGGTCAAAAATGAGAATTCAAAAATATTTAGAACTACATATCATTAACGAAAATAAGTCAATACGATATTACATCTGTAGCCTACTCGTTTTCATACCCTGAAAATGTCGTATAAAATTNCCCAGACGATTCGCGTTGTGGAGTCAAAAATGAGAATTCCAAAATATCATATCATTAACAAAAATAAGTCGATATGCTATTACAATTGTAACGTACGCGTTTTCATACTCTGAAAACGTCGTATAAAATTCAAACGAAACAATATTTTTCCCAAAAAAGATTTTAAAAATTAGATACTCTTTTAAATGTTGAAAACAAAAACAAAACTTCAAAATACATCTATCTCTGTCTATGCCAGCATACAGAATTGCAATTTGTGAGCTAAAACTATGCAATGAGTCATTGAAAAAGTCAAAGAACTGAAAACATTTACCTAAGTGATGTTTTGCCACTGAAAACCCAACTGAAACTCCCATTTCTTAAATGATCTTTAGGTTCAAATTAGCTAGAATATAATCAAAATTTGTAATAAACTTTGCAACATTAAGAAAACATGAAATATGACCCGACTGGAAGTTCCCATTTCAAAAATCAAGTCCTTAAAGTCATCAATTTTCAAGCTGATAGTTAAATATAAGCAAGCATACCAATTTGGGATCGGCTCGATAAGTACAAAGACAGTACTTGTCAGCATTTTCATTTGCAATCCTCTAGGATTTCAAATAAAAAAAAATAGTCACAGTCACAGTCACATATTAGGGTTGATAAATCAGCATTTTCATTTGCAATTGTGCTTGATAAATAGCAAGGTTGCTATCCATAAACCATTTGCAGATTTGTTGTCAAAACAATTGGATGAAATTGGCATAGAGAATTGATAACACACCTATAAGGGAGAATGGCGGATTTCGGCAGATGGCGGACTGATTGAAGAAGAACAGGGCGGGCT